CCTTTCCTATCCTATGGTAACGTACCACATCAACTAAACAGCAAATTCAAAATTTGTGAGAAGTAACTGACACCTAGACAGTTAACAATCAGCAATGCACTGCAAAGTGCGACAAAGTCAATCAAGCAAATCACTGAGATCATCTTCGATACAATCTTGTTCCTCATGTTCGGCTTGTTGCCAGAGCTCTTCAAAGGTTGCCTCTTCGACGCTGAAAGGGAGATCTTTCCACTTCTTTTTCATTATTCGCTGGGGATTTGGCCCAGGGAACTGAACAACGAAGCTAGCAATCTTGATGCACAACCACTCCACCTCATTGATACGAACGCTTACGCCCCAGTCTTGACCACATTTTTTGCAATAGATTTTCTTGTTAAACTCGACATCATCAATTTTCTTGGGGCTTGGATAGTTCTTCAGGACCACCTGCCAATATAAGAGCAAGAGGTTCGTTATCATGTAAGCTACTTAAATTTAGCAGTGTTCTTTAAACAGCTCTACTATTCCAATAATAACTTCGAAGGAAAAAATGAAAAAAGAAAAAAGGAGCTGCACAACTCATTTACTCAAGGCAATCCAGAAAGTTGGCACTAGATTGAGAACCACGACGCTCCTAAAGTGAGAAGTACCGCTCTCTAAATCAGTGATGCTACTATTTTTCTTTTCCTTTAGGTTTTGCAGGCGTGCAAGCATCAAAAGACTAGGTGCAGTTTGTGTAATTATTAAAACCGTAACAATGGCCAAAAGGATTAGAGTTGGCTCATGCAAATGAGATTAAACGAAAACAAAGCAAATAACATCTAGATATGGTCTGCTGCGGTCAACTTAGAAAGAGCGTCTACCTTGGATTCCCGGACGTCACTGCTGATGATCACGTAGTAGGTTTCTCTTACGCGTCGGATATCATGTGCCTGACAAACCGCTGCATTGCACTTCCGGCAGTGGAGGGTGACATCATCGGGAACAGGCTTTGACTTTTTCGAAGCCATTACACCCTTCTTTAGCTTGCGATCCCGAAAGTTCTTATCCTGTATAGCTTTCACCTTCATAAATAGAAAATAAATCGAAAAACTCAGTCAGGAATGATGCCAAGGGACTAATTAGATTCAAAACTGAGCTCCAAACTCTTGGATATTTGTCAATGGAAATTTCTTCCATGGCTATTTCTAGTATTAGATAATTCCATACAGTGGACACTCAATTTAGTTTCGACAGCCATTTGTACAAGGGAACCCCTACCCTGTCCCCTCTTCTTCTGAAAGACACGGACCTTCGCTCTTTCTGAAATAAAAGAAAAACTCTCGTAGTCTTTGAAATTGTTACTTTCACTAAAGGGGTTAAGCAAAGGGAACCCTCTAATCGTCTATTTCACTATCTCCTGAATGGATTTTGCATTGTAAGAATACAAAGCAAATGTTTTTCCGGTACTTACTTTCCTCTGAAAGTCATTTGTGGAAATGTTTTGAACTTTACTAAGGGCTTCAACCATGAGGGTTTCTCGGAAACGGTTTGTGTTTTCCCTTTTCAAAGCTCCAGAATCTTCACTGACGAGCACGCTATACATACCCTCATCCGCCCTGGTAAAAGAAGAAAAATAAGGAAAAAAAAACTTGTAGCTAAAACAAGAGGAGACCTTGACCATGCTAGACCCAAGTTCTTTAAGAAAATAAGAAATCTACTTTATATGCCAAAAGAAGACAACTGCAGAGGCACGTGAAACTGAAACGTTACAAACATGAATCTAGTGAACTAACGGGAAATAAAAGCACGGTAAAATCCTTAAAAATAAAACAAACCGGTTCTATTGTGTGCCAGTCAATGTCAGGTAAATCAACCATTCCCTCAGCTTACCTTACAGATTTCCTTCAGTTGACAGTTCTGATAGTTTCATAGTATCTTTAATTGTATATTCGTAAGTGGAGGGCAACTCTGTTTTGATGATGGACAAAAACTGTGGCATCGGTCAAGAATCAAACGAATCCATGCAACAAGTCCTTCCTTTGCGGATTCTTCATTTCCATTCCCGTTTTCACCCCTTTCTTCCCTGTCGTGAGTTGAGTACTCTTGTGCTGTTACTACTTTTGCATGTTCTTCAGGATTGCCACCATTTGCCTTATCTTCCTTTCCACTTTTAGCATCTTCTTCCCTTCTCTTCTCAGAATCACGGCTGCTAGCTCCTGCCTCCAAACTCTCACCTTCCATGCATCCATCATTGCACTTTTTCGCTGTGTCATTCTCCGAGTCAGCCTTTCCATTACTGGAGTGGTCTACTTTCTCGCGTTTCTGGGGCGTTACCTCTTTGTAGTGCTGTAGGAGCAATTCTTTTAGTTTCATTAAAAATGGATTCTCGGGCTCACCATGCTCTTCTACATTCTTATCCAACAACTCCATTGCGCACTGAAACAGACGTTCCAAAGTTTTGTCAATGGGTAGGAATTTTTCCCTATCCAAGGATTTGAAATATTTCTCAAGGCGTTTCTTAGCATTTTTCAGAGTGGTGCTTTTGTTGATTGTCAAGGCGATGTGATACTCTCGGAGATGTTCTGCGAATGTTATGAGGTAGCGGTCCGCATCTGCCACAGCACTTTTGGAGAGCTCCTCGACCCACTGACGATACTGCTGACATGCCTTATTATCATCCTGAGGAACAGAAGTGGATTCCTCTCCTTTTCTTCCTTTCACTTTGGCCTCGATTCTCTTCATAACCTAAAACAATAAAAGGAAAGGATGAGGTAAGCTCACCTTATCCCTCTTGTTTCTAATTAACAACTAATCCACTCATTACCTGGGAAATAATCTTTTCAAATGGATCCTTTCCAGTCGTTGAAACTTGATGAACATTTCGCTCAGGAACTTTTGCGAACTTTTTTAGTTCGGATTGATTTTTCCTCACAGTTGAAATAACTTCTGCATCTAAGTTAGCAGAAACAAGAAGAATGTGTTCTTCAGCCTTCTGAACGCTTTTAGCTTTTCCTGTACCAAGCGATGCAGTAAAACCAACAACCTAAAAATCAAAATAAAGAATATTAAATTCCAAAGATCGCACTAATCTCCCAGAAATAAAAGCAGACGTCAGCTTAGCGACCAAAACATTTGCATTGAGTTTTGCAATTGGAAAGTAGCCCGGTCTCAAAAATACCGTGTACATGTTGCCATCGATTTGATATAAACCTGACAACAATCGCAATCCGGTCGTGAACACGTCTTTTTTAAGCTCACGTTGGACCCTTGCATCATTTGATATTGCTGCGACTGGCTAAAAGATTACTTAGTTTCATTATGGTTTTTGACAATAAAAGAAAAATAACTTTATCCGTTCACTGCGATCAGAATATTAAGAATAAGGTTTTTGATAGTTGGGAAATAGCTCGTGGCTTACTTAGGCGCTATGGCTCTTCGCTTGAAGACCTTTCCCTACGCTTTCAGACACGCCACGAAAAACAATATGAAGTTTTAGTTACTTGTGGCAAAGGTCCTTGCTTTCGAGGCTGCTTTTTCAAGGCAAGATACGTTTCCATGATACGGTTGTAGGAATGCTCCTTGTGTGCATGGTGGCACTCGTCAAATAGCAAAAGACTGATATCTTCCAAATTCACTTGCTCCTCTTTAGTTTTACTGTTAAGAGCATTAACAAGTATTTGGGCAGTCAAAACAATGATGTCATGGCTTTGTAGAAGATACTTAAGTGGGATCTCCATTGTGTTTGCCCCAGAAATATCAGCCACTGAATACTTGTCTCTCAGGTACAATTCAAACCGCTCCTTTTGCTGAGAAACAAGGTTCACAGTGCTCACAATAAAGACGACTTTTGGGCGTTTTCTACGACTGCTCTCTGTAGGTGCTAAGGAATGAAAAGAAAAAGTTAGAAGCAAACTTAGCCCTTTATTGACGGTGCTTATCCCAATTTCTGCAACATTATGAAGTGACTTAGAGTTCTGATGCTAAGAAGAGGAATAGATGTCTCGCTCAAGAACACAACCTTAGGGCCTGATCTTCAATCC